CGGGTTATATAGGTTTCTATAGGTTTCTATAGGTTTCTATAGGTTATTTCGCGGGTTATTCGGGTTATACTACGGGGTTTACGGGTTATTATAGGTATTAATACGGGTTTCTACGGTTTTATATAGGTTTCTATAGGCTCTACTTACTAAAGCTAAATTAGATAAGCTAATTATTATTATATAGAGGTTTAGTACTATAATATATTAACCTATATTTAAATACGATATAGTACCCTAGGATAGATTACTAAGGTCTTTAAGATTCTTTATATATATAAGGCCCTTCTACTAAAATCTTTAACTCTACCTTTCCCGATACTATATCTTAAAGCTAATATTCCAATACATTTTTATTATCTCTATATAATAGTAATATTAACCTTACCTACCTTACGCCTAAGAATAAGTAGCTCGCTACTATTTCTAAACCCTCTACTAGCTAGCTTACAATCGATTTATTTAACCCTAAGTTTCTACGCCTACTAATTCTACTCCTAGTCCCTAAAGGTCTTATATATATAGAACCGGACTGTAGAAAGGTATTTATTCTTTATAACGAAATAGTTAATAAAGAATTTATAGATTAGTAGATTAGAATATAATATAGGGGTCCTAGTAATACTAAGATTAAATAGGACTCGAAGTATTAGTTAAAATCCTAGAATAAATTCGATTAGGTTATATATAGCTCCGATGGCGTACCTAAAGTAATATATAAGCGATATAGAGTAATCTTAGAGTATCCTTAATCCCTATTATTAGGGATAATAGTACGCTAAGATACCTTTATAATAAGAAAGTACCTTAAAAGGTATTAGCTATATTAAAGTAGCTTAATACTATACTTAAAAGTCGGGGATTACTTAGTTTATAAAGGCTATAGTATACTTATATCTTTCTTATTTAGTACTTTATTATTACTAATATATCTAACTTCTAGAACTAGGATTTCTTAGTACAGATAACGTTTAACTAGATAGTTTAGAAGGACTAGCTACTATATTAAGAGGTATAATATTAAATATAAGGTACTTACGATTATAACCGATAATACTTCGAATAATAAAATATTAGTCGAAAGTCTCTAATAAGTAATACTAGAAGATACTATTATTATTAGAGTTCTATATATTACCTATATCCTCTAGCTATATCTTAATAAGTTACTTAGATATATAAAAGTAAGCGTAGTAAATAAGTTAATAGAGACTCGGTAGATAGAATAGCGGTCTTAATCCGCCTAAACGAACGCGAGGTAGTATAAGCGAGAGATTATTAATACTTTAAGTAAGATTAGTTATATCTAATTTTATAATATTAATATTATTTCTTATACCTTACTAACTATTTTACTAGATTCGAAACCTCGCTATATACGTAAATATAAGCCCTTAGCGATAGGATATATTTTATATCTTTTAGACTAAATTAGCTAAACTCGTATTAATATAAGATATTAAAACGCGATAGAACTCTACTTTTCTTATACTCCGACGTATAAAGCGGCTTCGCCCTTATTTTACGCTATTTTATAATAAGTATAAGCGATCGGACCTTATATTAGATAATAATAAATAGCGATAGATCGAGTACCTTCTTTAGATTACTTAGCCTTTCTTTAAATTTACCCTTAAATTATACCGAAATAGATAATATCCGAGGTAATCTTTATATAATTAGAACTATACTTACTCCTACTAATAAGCTTCGGTTCTTTTAAACCGATAAAATAAAAAGAGTAATAGGCTTAGAGGTATCGACGTAGCTTTTAAGACTACCTTATACTATATAAGATATATCTTAGAAGTATATAGACGTCTCTACCGTCTTAGTCTTTAAAAAGGTTAGAGTCTCGCCTCGATATAATACTCGGAAGTCAGCAACCTAATAACTTATTATATAATAAGCTCTTATAATATCTTAAAAGTAGTATATATAAAGTATAACTATCAGAATTATAAATATAGTACTAATATATAATAGATACTATTAATATATCCCCCCTTCTATTCTAGAAAGATAACTAATATCGATTCCTAGCTCTTATAAGCCTAGCCCGAGATATACTTTCGATTCTAGTAACTAAGGCGGGCGTCGAAAGGCTATTTAACTCTACTCGGGATATCTATTACTACCGCTAAGGTAGACTTAATACCGATACTATTTAGGATCTTATAATATACCTTTATATATTAAGATTTAACTTCGAAAAAGCCGAGTATACGTATCTAAAGGAATTCTTCTCTTACGATAAGGTCGAGATAGCTAACGAAGAGTAGAATAATAATCTTTATATATATAAGTTTGATCCGATTAGCGATAATAAGGAAGATAGGATAATAGTAGAGATTAGTAATAGAAGGGAAGACGAGCAGCCTACTCTATTAACTAGTAATAAGGATTAAGTTCTAGAGTATAATATCCTACTACCTATATCTAAGGAAGGGAATACTTAGGTACGTAGATTTGTTAGATCCCGGAAATATATAAGGTAGGATAACATAACGGATAAAGGATCCTTACAACATAAAAACAGAATTGTCACCTAACCTTATCGGCTGGGCCACGAGAGTGGAGCACCACTGATTCGTTGCTGACCCCATATGATCAAAGCGGGGTATAGTGATAGATAACATAGGACTCCCCTGGATCCTGTTCCTCTTAGACAAGAGGTAGCCTTGCCACGTTGAAGACAATACAATCTGTTCCTCTCTCCTACCATCGTATCTTACCCGGTTGACAGGCCGTACACCTGAAAACAGTATACCTTTACACATTTTTTATGCAAATAAGGGCGGATGAGGGCGGCCCTCGAGGGCCGGGCGGAGGGCCGGCATCTCCGGCCCTCTAAATGTTTTTAACGAGGTCTAATATCTTCGACACTAAGTAAGACCCCGATACCCGTAAGACTAATTAGCCTAATATCCTTGAGATTAATAAGCCTTTGTTGGCATAATAGTAGTATATATAAGACATATATTATGATGTGAAGAAGAGCTATATATATTTTACTGGTACTATCTAAGGAATCCTCAGATATATCTCTATGGTAAACTATATTGTGACTTACTTACAATCGCCATAAGTATTGAAGTCATTCTATATTATCGTGAGACAATATAGCATTATTAGGAGGCAAAGCTCACTTTATAATTGCCACCTAACTAGGAATGAATAATTCCTTACTAGCTAGTCTGCTAATTAAGAACAACAATCAATCTATCTGCTACCTGTCTACTATTGCCTATTTAGCTAAGTATAACCCCTCTCATGCCTCATATAGTATTATATTATATAAGATATAAGGCTTACCTAATAACTTCCCTACTATATATTATAACCTACTATTAGGCTATAATATATTATCTGCTAAAGTGCTAACAGCCTTCTACCTCTAAAGCCCCTTCTAAAGCTATTAACTATTTTAATCTTAATACTATTATTATAGATAAAAAGGAATATGCTCTACAGGACCATTAAAAGGGTATAAACCCCCCCCCCTTTTTTTTTGTTTACTAGTATAATACTAATTATATAAGGATATTTTTAGCCAATAAAGCCTTACTCTATATCTAGTATATTACCTATAATATTAAGTATTATATAAGTCTAATCTTATCCTTCGAAACCTTATTTATTAATTAAGATACATCCGTTACCTAGTCGATATTAGGTAGATTTTATACCTAATACTTTGATTTTTATCCCTAGGCCGTAATCTATTATTAATTCTCTTTGTTAATACAAAAAGTAACCTATTAGTAGATTAATAAGTTTTAGGCTATAACAATGGATTAGTATAATATTATTTATACCTAGGATACTACTATAAAAGATATAAATCAGGTAGCCTTTAAAAATAAATATAAGAATTATCCTATGCCTTCTATGATATTATACTAAAGCTTCTTATTATATAAGACCTTAATATCTTATATAAAGACTACTTACTTTAGTTTTAAGTGGGATTTAAATAACTTAAGTATTTAGGAATTTATAGGCTATCGTCGCTAATATTCTATCTATAATTAAATAGTGGATAGATATCGCAAACTATAAAGAGAAAACTAGATATTTAGACTTAAATATACATACCTATTATTAAGTCTTTACCCACCCGCATTTTCACCCCACCTATTCAAATGTATATATCTACATTCAACTATATACTACAACACTACCTATTGCTCAATTTACTTTTAATAAAGGTAGGGTTCAAGCCCTACTATCCTCGGTTAAAATACATTTAATATTTAGTATAATAACCCTTAGCTTTTTGTATAGCCTTACACCTCCGCTCTATACTTATAATCAGCCTATCAATTTTAGCCTGTGGTATTTCCTACTACCTATATATAAAGATCGCCTATTTTATTAGGGTATACTTAGTCCTAGTCTTATATATATATATAAAACAGAGATCCTTCCTTTAATCCTCCTCTTAATCCTCCTTTTACTTATTTTAACCTTATAAACTTATATCGCCTGGATTACTGTATTATATTAGTTATAGGTCGATTTTTAGTGCTATAATATTAAAATATTTAGATTCTCTAAATTACATAGGCGCTTAGGTACTATCTATAGATTATATAAAAGTATAGGGAGGGCGTAATCTTATGTACCTACTAAAAGGAACTTATAATTATAATAAAAGGTATAGACTTACTATAATACTATACCATATAGTTAAAATAAAATAGTATTAATATAATAAAATATTATCTAAGTATAGTTAATTATTAGGGAGCTAGCCGAAATCTAATAATATAATAATTAATTATATAGGCTATAGCCGTGCTAAGCGCCTAACACCACCTATCGGGTGTTGGTGCGCCCCACAGGATACAATTTTTTCATAGGATGTAAGATTTTCTTAATTGAATTAACTTCTTACCCATTTTACTACTACTCTATGATGTCAAATTAAGCCGAAAAAATCGAGGCTAGGATCTAAGATGCAGTAAAAGCATACTATGAAGCTATTAAGTCTAATATAGCTAAATTGGCGCGGCTTTTTGACGTACTACCCTACCAGCTTCGGTATAGGATTTATAGCTACTAGTCTAATTCCGACCGCGCTAAAGGAGCTAGAGTCTTAAATTTAATTCAAGAAAAGGTACTTACTATATAGATTTAAACCCTAGATAGTACCTATATTTTACCTACCTTAGAGATAGTAGAAGATACTATAAATACTATTATAAAATAGGCTAGTAAAGATCGGCGTATCGGCTATAACTAGGTATACTGCTTTATTATAAGACTACCCTCTAGGGTTAACTATATTACCTAAATACTAAAGGAAAAATCGAGGGTAGAGAGTAAGAATTACGGTACTTTATTCCTTTAGTTTAAGCGCCTCTCCGATCTATTTAAATAATATAAATACCTACTATATAAGATCTTTAATTAGGATAAAATCGGCTACTAAATCGGCTAGAGAAAGCTACGAAAGGTTATTTCCTCTCGTCTAACTAGTAATATTACTAGACTGCGCCAAAACCCGAGAATGGGTAAGAGAAGTCGACCCGCAACCCGAACCCGCAAACCCGATGGGTAGACTCGACCAACCCGCAACCCGCCCCGCAACCCGCGCGGGTAACCCGCGCGGGTTCCCGCAAAAACCCGCGGCTGCATAATTTTCCCAATTAAGCCATGGCGAAGTGTATAAAAATGCTGATTTATACTAATAAAATACAGTAATCTACGGCGGTTTTGTTTATACGTCTAAGGCACCCTTCGACTACTGCTATTTCTGACCGCGGTCAGAAATTATCTATGCATTGAAAACTCCCTTCAGACTACTGCTATCTCTAACCGCGGTCAGAAATTATCTATACATTGAAAACTCCCTTCAGACTACTACTATCTCTGACCGCGGTCAGAAATAGTATAGGCAAAGTGGCTTTTCACGCATAAGTAATTTCTGACAGCCGTTAGAAATAGTAGTGGTATATTGGAATTAGAGCGGGCTGTAGGAGCTTTTACCCCCTTGAGGTGAAAAGGAAATACAACAAGATACAGGTAAGAAATGCATAATTTATGTAGATACGACTCTTCCTATGTTTGCACTGTTTAGTAACCCGCATGGGTAACCCGCAAACCCGCGCGGGTTACCCAAACAAACCCGAAACCCATTGCGGGTTATGAAAGTCGACCCGAAACCCGACCCATTTGCGGGTTGGGTTTTTTCGGGTTTGCGGGTTTGCGGGTTTTGGCGCAGTCTAAATATTACTACCGGTAGTTAATCAGAATCAATTACTAGTATTAAATATATCTTAGCTGATAGTTAGTTGATACTACTATAGTTTCTACCTAAGGGTAGTATCTATATAGCGGAGTAGTATAAGAATATTATTACTCCTAATGTTCGAATTAAGCCTACCCCTAATAGCTAGACAGATAATAAAACTAGCTTTAAATAGCTTTATCCTTCTACTAAGCTACTATTAATTTAGTAAAAAGGGGTAGGCTAAGGCTTCTTTTAATAGATAATTATAAGTCCTAGTTAACCTTTAAATTTATCGATTTTTATAACTAAAAAAATATTATCCTATTCTGCTTTTTACTATATATAATAATACATCTCTACTAACCGCTCGATAGTATAGTATTTCAAAACTTAAGGTGTTATTTTTGTATAATAAATAATAATATTGTTATATAGGGTAGAAATATAAGCTAAAAACGAGATTCTTTTCCGAATAATTTAAGCGATTCGAGAGTAAGCTCTTATCTAAAGAACAATTAGATTATCCTTTAGATCTAGAGATTATTCTTAAACCTTTCTTAAACCTTTACGCTAAAGAGATCTCGCCGCCGAAGGGTCCCCCCTTAGGATTTTTATACTATTACCCCCCGGCGGATTTTATAAGCTTAGTCACCAATTCGCCGCTAGATACATTTGAGCGGGTAAATAAGCTTAATACTAAGCTTATCTACGATATAGAGTAGATTAGCAGTCTCTCTAAGAGTATATAAAAGTATATATAGGACTCGGTACTTACTTAGTAGTATAGGTAGAGGCTTAGGGACGATCTCTAGCTCGGAATATAGAACTGACTCTAGATATATAAGGCCTAGGGAGGCTATTTTAATAAATTTAATAGTTAAATTCTTCAAATTCAATAAAGAATTCAATAAAGAAGGTAGGTTAATATATATAAACTATAATTAGAGTATTAATTTATTTGATCCTATCTATATACCTATACGAAGTATAATAACAGAAATAGACTGGCACAATAATATATAGTAAATCTAATATATATAAAGCGATTAAGTTTAGGCTTTGATATTAGAGAAATTCATATCTATTATATTATTCTAGGGATCGGCTTTTATGGATTTAAAGTTACGAAATTCGTCAAACGATGTCCTCTTCTTTCCTCTCGATTCTCGAAATATTATAATTACGAGAGTACGAAATACGAAGACCCTAAAATTATTAGGGAGTAGTTTAATTTAGTTTAAAAAATAATCCTTTAATTTAGAATCGACCCTAACGATATCTATAACTTTAATAAGACCGGTTTTATAATAGGATTGACTGTAACTACGAAGGTTATTATAAGAGGTAAATACTATAGTCAGAGGCCGGTTTTATAACCTAGAAATCGTAAATAGGTAACTATAATTAAATATATAAATATTTATAGATAGGCCCTTTCTCTATATATAATTTTTAAAGGTAAAGTCTTTATTAAATTATAGTTTAACGGCCTTCCGGGGGATTAGTGCTTCGAAGTTAGTCCTAATAGTTAGACCTCTAATAAAATTAGACTTCGGTAGCTTAAGAAGCTCTTTATTTCTAGTACTTCGCGTATAAAGGGGATATACCGGCTTTTGATACTTAATAGTTATAGAAGTTATTTAATACCGAAATTTAACGAAATTTACGAGTAAAATAAGGTAATACTAATCTATATATCTACGTATTCGTCTTATCTTTTATAACCTCTAGATATTAGTTATTTTACGGCATTAAAACGTACGTACGGTCGGATAGTTAAAACTAAGATACGGAACGGGATCAATTATATTAATAAACTTGACTTCCTAAAGTATACCCTCTTATATAAATTAAAGCTTTTAAACCGGAGAGAGTAATCTCTAAGCTTAATATTCGACTTCGAATCCTAGCCCCCCCTCTAAGCCGGGGAGTAAATTAAGCCGGAATTTTACGCTAAAAACTCTACTTATAGAGAAAGAAATATCTACGTCGATAAGCTTCGTCAATTAAAGCTTTACTTTATATAAGATCTCGAAGCCCGCCTAGCCTATCAGATCGTATATTAAACCAGCTTATAAAAGGCTTCCAGCTCTAGCTACAAAGTCATATTTTACAAGCATAAGAAATCAAGGAATTACGCGCCGCTAACGAGAAGTATAAATAAAAGCGTACTTGATCCCGAAGGCCTATCCCTACTAAAGAAGGCCTTTTAGTTTAAGAAGCCTCTGTATTAAATATACAGCAACAGGAAGCAACTGAAGTACCTCCCCCCGGGGCCTGTGGAATATGTAGATTGCCAGGGTATAGAAGAGAAACATATCCAGTATCCAGATAGATTATAATTTTAGTGTATTTAATTTAATGGAGTTTTAGTTGACATATTTACATTTGAAATTAGTAGACTGGGTGGGGTGCGCAGCTCGTTGGTGTGCGCAGCTCACTGGTGAAATACGTTAGTTTAAAGTTAAGTAGAAGCTTATAATAATTCTAGTCCTAATTAATAAAATGCCCTATAATTATTATAAATAGTTATTAGAATAGTAATTTTTAGTAGTTAAGAGTAACAAAAAGCTTTATATTTAGTAGGATGGTAAAAGGAATAGTATAATGTTCTTTATATACTATTTTCTTTTAAACTAGCGCTATGTAGTGTAAAGATATAGTAAGGTAAGTCTAGTTAAAGCTCTCTAAGCTATCTTAATAAGGAAAGTAAGTTACTTTTTTAAAAAATTATAGAAAGGTAGGTTAAATATAATAATATAGTTAATCTACTCTGTTTCCTATTTACCTTATAGGAATTTATTATATAAAAAAGACTTAAGTTTCTAGTATATATTAATATTAGTCATAATTATAAAATATATATTACTAAAAAATATAGCCGTACTAAGCGCCTAACACTACCTACCGGGTGTTAGCGCGCCCCGCAGGATGCAATCTTTTCATAGGATACAAGATTTTCAATTAATTCAACTAGAAAAATATTATTTATATGTAACCACCACGACTATCTATATACCAATTACCTCTATTACTATCTCTTGCCGCTATAGAAGCTTTATAGTTAGCCTCTACCAAATCCCTTGCCTCCTAAGCTCGTTATTAGGCTTCTAAATCCTTAGTATGCTTTGCCTAAAGCCGCTTTAGCTTCTTAGTATCGGTATCCTATCTTTTTACTATTATCCTACTTGCGTATATATGTGATAGGACACTGCCTTTAGTCCTAAGAAGCGATTTCCAATTTTTTGGTGTAATAGCAGTTAATCTATAGGACTGAGACTTCTTTAAAGATACCTTTAATAATTCAACCTCTTAGGATAAAAGCGTATTTGCATCTATACTTCCTACTATACCGCTCCCCCCTCTCGACTAGTTATATACTATACTTAAGGCCGCGATAGCTATACTTAATAACTATGGCCGGGTATATAGCTATATAATAGTTAGTAGGCGTTCGAAGTATATAAAAAAAAGGCATTAAAAATAGGCTTCTCCAAAACCCAACTTGGGTCCGACTTCTATAACCCAACCCAACCTAAGACCTAATACTAGGTACCTATTAGGGCCCTAGGAAAACCTAATTTTATATAAATTAGAACTCTTAGCGTTTATAACCCTACGAAGTTATCGAAATAAAATACTATTTTTTATACTTATTTTAGTTTCCCTAACTATATTCTTAATAACCTCCCCTACTATAGTAGGGAATTTTAAGTAATCTCTATAAAATAGAAGTAAGAAAGCCTAGTTTTAAATTATTTACTTTATAGAATTATAGATTTACTTCTTATAGTACTATTTGTCTAAAATAGGAAAAATATTATTAGGAATATAGAGAAATATATATTTAACTTATATAGAAGTAGTAGTATTTTTTTAATAAGAGGAAATATAAATTTAAATATATTAATTTCTACTCTAAATTATCAATTTTCTATATAAAATAAAAGCTAGTCTTCTCTATTTAGGTATATTTATTTAGGTATATTTATCTATTTAGCTAACCTAGTAAGACTACTAAGATAAAATATATCTTACTCTACCTATACGAAATATTTTAAGGATCTTAAGAAGGAATTAGGGTAGGAATTAGGTTTTCTTAGATTCTTTTAGGTATTTATTAGGTTCTCTTAGGTATTTATTAGGTCTAATTAGGTTCTCTTAGATCCGATTAGGTTAGACCTATATAAATATTTATAATCTAACTAATTAATAGCTATCTTAGTATATTTCTTTTAATCTATCTTCTTTTCTCTTCTACTTAGTAAGTAATTTTATCTAAGTTAGTCTATCTAATATTATAGGTATTTCCCCTCCCTCCTACCTTTTTTATATCTATAATCCTATTAAAAGCCCTATTATATCTTAAAGCTAGTATTCTAACTTTCTATCCTTAATTTATAATAGAGATATAGGTAATTTATCCTACTATATACTATCTAATTATCTAGTAACTCTATTTAGTAGCTAGACTATACTATCTAACTTTTATTACGATTTTTTTCGACTAGATTACCCTCTACCTCTTCTTCCCTCTTTTACCTATATTAGACCGGACCGGCGAAAAGCGTTTTTTCTTTATAATATAGTAGAATATACTAAATAGGTTAAGTAGTAGTTATAAACCGATTATAGGAGGAAGAGTAAGATCTATTAGGATATAGCCCGCTAGTCTACTCTTTAGAGTAACTTCTACTAAGTTATTTAAAGTATAGATAGCGTACTAAAGGTTATATATAAGCGCTATAAGAAGATTCTTAAGTACCCTTATTCTATTAGACTAGGTTAAGCGGGATATTATAGTATATCGACTATAGTAAAGTATCTAAAATCTATAAGCTATTAAAGGTCTATTAGGCGGAAGAATATAGATATTATAGGTTTTCTAAAAAATAGAGTATATTCTCGATAATCGCTTTATTCCTCCTATATTAATATATTCTAATCTAAATAGTAATAAATATTAATTAGCGCCTCTTTCTTATAACTAGAGTAGGAGGAAGTAGACTTCTCCAGAACCCAATTGGACCCGGACCCAAGCTGGGTTTTGGGTTATACCAGATAACCCAACCCAACCCCTGGGTACCCAATTGGGTAACAAACA